ATGAATGAATGAATGAATGAAAGGTTGAATGGATAGAAGGAGGGAAAGAGGGATGGATGCATGCATGGATGGTGTTCAATACCCTAGAAAACATCCTAACAAAACTTTTCTTCTAATTTCCTAGTACATACTTTAACCATTCCTTGACAGAATCAAGTGACGTCATAGGGATAGCATTGATGTGTTCTACTTTCCTCTTGTAATCCTTGAAGATGAATACCATGTCGAAATTCTTCAAATGAAACTGCAGGAAGAGTAAAAGAACATTTCAATATGTATAGCAATAACTTGGGTATAGACCGTCTTCTCAAGGTTGCGTGCACATCCAAATTTAAGGAACTGGACGGGCCATGATTCTAGAACAGGAGCTTTATAAAGAGAATCATCATACATTTCTATTAGATTTTTCAATAAAAATTTATCAAATGAATTCTCATCTTTAAATATAAAACTGGCTTCTCAATTTTACTGAATTGCCGTTTTTCAGTTTTGTGGCCCGCAAATTGGATGCGCACGCAACCTTGAGAAAACGGTCTATTGTGGCTTGAAATGAATTCCATTTCCAACAAACTTTTCTCAGCTTAGGTATAGAATTTTCTCATTTCAGACCATGTGTCATTCTCTTCAGAACAAGATTCTTTGTTTGAGTTGTATCCATATTCATGTCTTCTCATGTGCAACCATTAAACAAAGAAATGGTTCTCAAGGGAATTACACCTGGTCTGAAATGGAAAAACTTTAGGTCCAAAGTAAAGAGGTCTGTTGTGATTTATTAGTAAGTTTAATTTTCATCCAGATTGAGATTGAGAGATATTCCAACACGAGCTTATCAGTACCATTCATCCCAATATTACAGCATGAAGTATGGGTTACCTCCTTAAGTCACTGGAAATATTTCTTTCCCCTGGAAACTAATAGCCTTATTCCCCCACCCCCACCCCCTGCCCCAGCATTAGCATTCAAGACTTCTGCATCCGCAGTGCTTTCCAATCACATCAAAAATCAAACAGTCAAAATTATATGATTTGCCRTCACAACAAAGTAGGTTTTGGTGACAGTCAATCAAGGTGTTTCCATGACACTTGAAAGGCATGGAAACTGTGTTGTCCAACGTTCATCGAACTGTGAAGTCCATCTAAACCCTATTTTGTCATGACGCAGGTTGTACAATCCTACGCAAGTGATTGAGAAGCACTGCAAATCTCCCTCAATACTAGCTGTTGTTGATCCATTAACCTACCTGAACACGTTCAAAATGAACAAGTTCCACTTCATCCAGGGTAATGATAAATACAGGCTGAAAAAAGATTACAAGTGATTACTACAAGTGATTACAAACCCTTGGATGGTGTTTCCTAAACAAACATTTTATTACTTATAAAGAGTAGGTTGCAATCAATAGACGTCACTTCCGGTAATAGCTGTGTTTTTTATGGCTTCTAGAATCTTGGAGGTTGTTTTGATCTCTTGTTTTCTGGTTTCATGTCGTAGAAATAGTCAAATACAATAGTTTGAGAACTTATTTTGACATGCTTTTACTTAACATCCGTTAGTTGCAAGGGCGGTTCCAGCCAAAAAATTGGGGGGGGGGAGGGGGGCTTATTGAGTTTAGGGGGGGCTAATTGAGTTTCTTCCATCAACACAATGGAAAACAATATAAAAAAGCATCGTTTTTTTTCTGCTGAAGAGGGGCTTCAGCCCCCCTTTGCCCCCCTCCTGGATCTGCCCTTGAGTTGCCCCTCAGTCAACTGCTTGTTTGCCACCCAGTAAGCTCAAAAAAGTTGTTAGTAAGCAATTCTGAGGGTGTTTGTTGGCTTGAAAGTTTAACTACTTCAGCAACCACACATTTCTTCATTTTATATTTGTATGCACCTACAATGTATTTCAAAAAAACCTTCTCGGTCTGAGATCTGAAATCTGAGACCCAATAACACGGTGCAAAATGTAATATATTCAAAGTTGAACAAGATACGTAGTTCACTTTAGTTTGGAATATGTAGCATGACCTTTCACTAAAAAATGCAATTTTTGGTAATTCATGGTCAGAGAGACAACGTTTTTTAAGATGGTGTATATATCACTTAAAAAATTTTATCATAATCTGGAATCCTTTTGAGTTCCATAACTTTGTGTGTAAATGAATAGTCTAATGCGAAATAAACTAGTAGATTAGCCAATCAGAATGTACTATTTGCAATACCCCACTATTTTGCTTATAATAAAATGCCAATAGATACCTACACATTAGATACCTACACATTAGATTACTAACCTGTTCTGTGAGATTAACCAAACAATGAGTTGTTGGCTGTAGCAACACAGTACTGCGAAATGGGACACCAGAAAAACTGAAAAGAATAGAAAAAAAAATTTATTAGACACTGTTTTTTGCTATAATAACCTTTCATTGCTCTAAAATAATATCTAGGCTGATCTAAGTCAGGCACGCCTAACTTACAGATAGAATCCTGAAACAGCCTCTGGGCYGATCTAAGTCAGGGCACGCCTAACTTACATATAGAATCCTGAAACAGCCTCTGGGCTGATCTAAGTCAGGGCACGGCTAACTCACAGAATGAACCCTGAAACAACCTCTGGGCTGATCTAAGTCAGGGCATGGCTAACTCACAGATAGAACCCTGAAACAACCTCTGGGCTGATCTAAGTCAGGGCA